TCAATGTATGCAGGAATAAACCCAATGGAGTTCGACTTTACCTTGATACTAGTTTTTATTAGATCCATGAGATTTTTTGTCTTGTTTGCCACAGCTTCAAAGCTGGACTCTTCCCGTCAATCACCTTTTTAGAAGGACCAACTTCACACGCAAAGGTGGTATCATACAAAAATGTTTTGTCTAATAGCTCCATAAAATTTCTAATGCCGTCAAGAACTTTTTTCAAAAAGTCAGAGGCCCCTACAAATTTTGCTTCTCCATGGTACGGTTGCTGATTTTTGGGAAGCTCAAACTCCACGTGCTCTTCCTCACGCTCCGTTTCCCAATGACGGACACCATGAACTCCGGCGATGTAATCGAGATGATTTCAAAAAAAGGGTCGATCAACACAAGCGACGATGATAGGGGGATGAAGTTGGAAGATCAATGTATGCAGGAATAAATCCAGTAGAGTTCGACTTTACCTTGATACTATTTTCATGAAATCCTGAGATTTTTTGTCTTGTTTGCCACAGCTTCAAGCTTAAAAGTTTCTGTTGTCCATCTTTATATAGGAATACCTCTTGCCACCCTCTCATATTGCCATAATCTGTGCATGTTCACCGTTTTGGCAGCCCGTGAAAGCTTTGTTGGGTTGGAAGGGATTTAGTGAGCAAAAGCCTATGACTTCTCTTTGTAGAGCTAGAAGGATTTTGTACCAGTGGCCGTGGAAATTATTCCTCTGTACCATGATGGATTTTTCAAAGTCAAACGAAAGGACATTTGTTTCTATCCTTTGGGTGGGTGGAGGGTTTGTTTGGTGGGGGAACTTCGGTTGCACTGTTACCACATTAACTTCTTTACCCTTTTGATTTTGTAAGCATGTCTTTATAAGAGAGCGCGGGGGGGCGGTGGTTAGATTATCGGTTATCCGAAACATCAAAGTTGTAAATAGAGAGAAGGTCTATAAGAAAGTCCATCCCCGTCTCTGTGGTCCAACAGGGATGAGAATCCTATTATTACCTCCCATTAGAGTCCAGTCTAACTACTTCAGCAGAGTAACCCAACTTCTTGTTGATTTTTTCAATCCATAGAGTCTTATCTTAGCTACAAATTCTTCAAAGAAAGAAGAATAGATGACAAGGCTTTGTACTTTTTGCAATTTTTAATATATGCTTCTACTAGCTCCTGCCCGTATTTGATAGCTGGTTTTGGTATTGGCGAATTATGGCAGATTCTTTAAATGTTGTTTGGTGATCACTTTAATTACTTTTTTCTTATCAAGACAACCTTTCGACTTTCAAGGTATTTAATGGTGTTTTCTTCTCAAGGCAACCTTTCGGCTTTCAAGGTATTTATTGGTGTTTACCTCACAAGGCAACCTTTCAGTTTTCAAGGTTTTTAATGGTGCATGTTCCATGGCATTTACATTGGCCAGCTTTTATTGTCCAATTTATTGATCGCTTTTGGAAGACGAGGGCTCTTAAGCTTCATCCTCGAAATTTGAAAAGTCACTCAAGCAAAGTTCTTATGATTAATGTTACCTTGTTTTTAAGTTGTGAAGTTGAAAGGTCATCTTGTTTTGAGTATTTATAGAAACTCACCTTAAGGAAGGATCACAACTATTTGAAGTTCTTCTCTTTGAGAGTTTTCCTTAATAGCATAGATCTCCGTTCAGGCGACACTCCTTTGAATGTTCCTCAAGAATTCATCGTCTCTTCTCTCAAATATATTTCGAGTCTTTCTCCTTCTCAGTTGAATGAGTATCTTGCCTTTCTCGATTCCGAACTCGTTAGGCTTCGAGAAGAATGGTCCTTGACGTTAGAAGAATTTTCTAGAAGAAGGTTGGAGATTTAAATCACTCGAGCTAGGGAGCTAGCTGAAATTCAAGCCAAATTCTCCTCGGTTTTCAAAGATCCACATGCAGAAGATAAAGATGGGGAACCCGAAGTTAAAGACCTCTAAAATTTCTCTTTTGTGTCATCACATCTCAGTGGATCTTTTTGTTTGAAGTTAGCTTGTTTCTTTTGTTGGCTTTTGATATCACTCTCATGTTGATTGTATTGCTCTTTGTCGAGCCTATATTTTGCTTTCATTTTTTCCTTTTTCTCTCACTCCTATGGGAGTTTGTATTCTTGAACTTTTTCTCCTTTTCATATATCAATGAAAAGTTGTTTCTTGATCAAAAAAAAATTTCCAATTTTCTTCCAGCATCAACTTCTAAGCAAATAACCATTTCTTTGTGCAGCTTTTCCAGATCTAGATGATCAATCCATACCCTTTTTAAGTCAATAAACAAGACACTTGAAGGCTCATTAATTAAGCAAGTGAAGGTTTGGCAGAGGCTCCATTGGATAACTCAAAGGAAGGAGAATGTGAGTTCATGTAATCACAAAAATGAAATCTCACAACTCCAAAAGCCTTCAAGTGAATAAATAGAAAAAACATAGACCTTTAAGATTCCAAACAATGGAGATAGAAAGGTTTCGATCCTAGGGAATTGGAGGGAAAAAGATGTTGAACACGCACCATAATTAAAGCCTGTCCTCAAAGAAAAAACATAGAGCCTCCATTCATGTGGTTGAAAACCCGACCACCCCTTTGTTGGTTTCTTGCCCCAAAAAAACAAGGTTGATGAACAAGATATGATAGAAAATCCTTCTAGTTTGCCCATCCTAGATGAAGATAGCTCTAAGCAAGGGTTATCCGACAGTTGTTCAAATGACTTCAATCCCTTTATTCTTGACGAACATGATTTTTCAGATTATTTTGAGCAAGCTGGCATTACCCTTATTCCCATCAAGCAAAAGTCTGTTTGGAAGTTGCTGGTTTCGAAAGGGCAAGAAATTTTTAGATAAGATTCGAATCTTTTCAAGAGGTTTTTCGTTTGCTGGTCTTAGTTCTGGTTGTTTCGGAGGAGTTCCTCTCTTGGCTCCTGTTTTGCTTTTCTTGGTTTGTTAATAATTTGGCTTGTTTTTGGATCTTTTATTCTAGAGGCTGTTGTTTTGGCCCGCCCTCTTTGACTAGTCGTTGGTTTTTTTATTTTTCTCCTTTTGGACATCTTGTTCCTTTTCATCCATCAATGAAAAGTTGCTTGTTGTTTTAAAAATTTAAAAAAAAAAAAAAAAAGTTCAAACCCCAAAGTGCCCATCTATCTGGGACATTAAAATCCTACCAATTTCCTGACAATCAAATATTGTAAAGTCAATCGGTTGTCCAACAAGGGGAAAAGTTGCAGAATCTCAATATGTTATATTAGGCCAATAGATTGGAAAGGAATATAAATGATAATAATAAGATGCAGAAACAATCCATTAAGCAATTCTTGTACATTCCTAATATGCATGGAAAAGAGGAACATGTTACGGATACAGACACCTAACATGTTTTGCTTTTCCAGTTTGCCTATGAACTTAAGAATACCTTGCTTTAGCGCAAATGGCAATTGAAGATAATCAAATGCCTCCAAAATGAGCTCAACATTCTCCAATAATACTTCCTCTGCATAAGTAGTAAGTGGCTCTTAGAATTAATTGATATAGAAAAATTTAGAATAACTGCAATAGTATAGAATGTGCAACCATTTGAGCTATTTCTTATATTAAGAAAATGACATTAATAAGAGGAAAAAATACAAGTGTCGCATAAAAGTTTGACTGCAAATGAAAGGCCTAAAACAAGCAAATATGAGTCTGACCAGAACCAAAACGATTTACAAATATACTTTTGTTTGTATCGTTTTGAGTTAGCCTCTTTTTTTTTTATAAGAAACAAAGTATTCATTGATCTATCAAAAAAGGCGACAACCTAAGGGCAGAGGGTTGAGAAGATCCTCCCCCAGAAGCTAAACAATGGCAACCATCCAATTCCTATCTATCATTTGTAGGCTATAATTACAAAAGAATTTCTTGTGGTATAAGGACCACCAAGAAGTAACATGCTGTACATTAATACAAAACATCTCATCGACAGGTATCTTGTTTTCAAAAAACCTCCTATTTCTTTCCTTCCAAATCAACCACAGTGTCGCCCTCACCGACAATTCCACAGAACGTAGGCTTTGCCTTTGAGCAAGGCTCCCCCAAAATTTTCAAGAAACAAGTCATCTATCCTTCTAGGGAGACAAAACTGAAGATCCAGCTCCGACCGAACAAACGCCCAAACCTTAGTACAAACGAGCAGTGAAGAAAAAGGTGGTCTATTGTTTCCGCTGCGTTATTACAAAGCCCACATACTAAAGGAGAAAGAGACCAGAATAGAAATCTTCTTTGTAGCCTCTCTGCCGTGTTTAAACTTCTATGGAAAACAGACCAAAGGAAGAATTTCACCTTCTAAGGGACCAAAAAATTCCATATGTAGGGGTCACGGGAGCTTTCAGCTTTTGTGAGAGTTTAATCAAAAGAGAAAAGGCTGATTTTGTCGAGAAAAGCCCACTGTTGTCCCCTTTCCACCAAAGTTTATCCTTCCCATTCCCAGGCTGCCAGAACTCAATCTTTTCTAAGAAACTGGCCCATCTATTGAGTTCTCTATCAAAAAAATTCCTCCTCGACCCCAAATCCCAAGTATGGGAGGAAGTCGCCCAACATTCTGCCAAAGAGCAACCTTTTTTGGTAGAGAGTTTGTACAAATCGGGGAAAGAGGTTGCAAGAGGAGAGGAATCAACCCACCCATCTTCCCAAAATCTGACCTTTTCACCTTTTGAGGCTTTGAAAGTGATCCACTTCTCAAAGCTGCCTCTGTTTCTAACAATATCCATCCAATGTCGACCTTTTGATGAGCCGCCCTTAGGAAGGGAAACTAGCCGTGGTTTCAACCCTATAAATCGCGCCAATGACCCTCATCCACAAAGCTTTATCTTCGTGAGGAAATCTCCATAGCCACTTGAACAGAAGGGATTGGTTTCTCTGTTTTAAAGAACCAACCCCAAGACCACCCCGTCTTTGAGGAAGAGAAGTCGTATCCCACTTCACAAGGTGACAACCCTTCTTTTGAGTACCTCCTTTCCAAATGAAATCCCTTATCACTTTCTCCATAGCCGACACAACTGTCTTTGGAGCCTTCAACGGAGAGAAAAAATCGACCGAGATTCTATTCAAGACGGATTGAACAAGAGTGAGTCTTCCCCCTTTGGATAGAAGTAGATTCCTCCACTTATCAAGTCTCGCTTTCATTTTATTGACAACAGGCTCCCACAAGGACTTTGCCCTTTGATTGCCTCCCAAAGGAAAAGCCTAGATAGGAGCACCGTCTTACAACCCAAAAGGCTGCTCCAATGAGTGACAACATCTTCCTCACAATTGATCCCAATAAGGACAAACCAGAAGCTAACAAAAAGATATTGATAACTCCCCACCAATTACCAAGCATGTCATCAAGGGCAGGGCAAAAAATCAGAACATCATCTGCATATTGGAGGTGGGTAATCTCAATCTCAGGGGATCCTGTAGTTAAGCC